ATTCTATATAATAGTAAAGAATGTATAACAGAACCTATATTGCATGACCGCTAGATACTAGATTGTCTACAAGAAATACTTTTTAGAGACTACCAAGGTACCAAGTGACTCCAAAAACATGTGATGCCCATCCATCAGATCTATATAGGCTCATACAGAGTTTCAGGCTTCTGTAATATGTATCATGAATGAATAAAAAATGTACAATAAACTAATTAGTTCCAGTTGATAAAAAACTACAGCAGTAGTAAAAGTAGGGATGTACTGACTACATTAGTGGACAAAAACGAGAACCTCAGAAAGATAAACACCGACCACAACACAAACTGAGAAAAATTTGGCACAAACATCGACAATAGATAGTTTAAACACTACTATAAAAAATCTCAGAAGAAAATAACAGAACTAAAATGAAAAAAGATAAAAGGTAGAAAACTGCAGACAATTACCAATACGGCAAGCAAAACTATACATATTAAGACAAAGTTTTATAGGATAGAATCATCACCAGCCAAAACTCATGAAGGACAATGACAAACATCATTATAACAGGCACCTTATAGGTAATAAAAGTGATGAAAGGAGCTAAAGTAAAAGTCAATGTGACTGTCATCATTGGAGACAAGAAAAAGAAGATAACAGAACTGCTGCAGTGCAATGAGTATATCGTCAGTACATAACGAAGACTCCAAGAAAATAAAGAGCGAAATTCAAGAACTTAATATTCAATCAATGAACACCAAATAATAAAGTCCAGATACCGCAAAAGGCCTTTCTCCATATTTATTGTTGATTGTACCTGTAGCTAAAGCAAAAAAAAAAACAGTCCTTAAGAGAAAGGGGACCATACTAAAACATTTGAAAGTGAGAATTCAAAACTTGAATAGAACGATACACAATGTACTCCAACTTGCGAAATGTGCAAACTGTGAAGGATCCCGTCTGGACAACTACTGTAAAATCTCATATGGACCAACGCATGGAACGATAGGGGAAAATTCTACAAGAAGAAACGGATCGCATAAAAACGCTTAATACATGATAACGATATTTATGGAAATAGATATCGTAAGAAAACGTACTTTATAGAAATAATAAACCAACAGAAGGAGGTGTCCAACACAAGATACCAGATGAATCAAGTTTTAAACCAATTAAATGTTGACCTTTTTTCAGAGTACAAAATTCTTCTCGGTACTCTTTCTGCCGTTTCCAGTAACCTTTGCGTTATAGAAGTGCCTGGTCTTGTTTCTAACGCATATGTCATTATTGGTCTTTCACTGGCTTTATAAATTATTGACTTCATCTCAGTGTTAATGTGCCTGTTTTGTCATATAGTGTTATTAAGACATCCTGTCAGTCTATTTGCTATTGTACTTGATCTCTGACTCCTTTGTCCACTTCTCCATAGCTAGACAGTGTAATTCCTAGGTGTTTTATTTTCATTACTTGTTCAATACTGATGCCATCAATTTCTATTTTGCATCTTTGGTTCTTTGCTGATTGCTATTGTTTTAGGTTTCTGGGATGAGAATGTCATATTAAATTTTTTTGCTCTTATTTTAAATATGTGGACCAGTCTTTACATACTATCTTCGTGACAGAGTATTTTTTATTTCTTTGTTTTCCATTCTGTATCTTCTTTCTTTGTTAATGCTTTTAATAATTTAATCCATATTCAAATCGAAGAGCCTGGGCCTCAATAAATCCCCTTGTCTTATTCCGCTGCCTATTTATATAGGTTTTGTAAATTGTTCATCTAATCTGACTTCCATTTTGTTATTTTGGTAGATGTTTTAAAAAGAAAAAAAAAGAAGAAAAAGGTACGTGGATTGACTACCTCAAAAACGCTCTATGCAGAGTAAGAACAAAGACGCTTGAACCGGTAAACACCAAAAATTATCAAAAAGTAAAATGTAATAGCATGTCTCGCAAAACAAAAAACCAAAAAAGGTATATCGATGAAAGGCAACCGTATATACGTATTTCTGACTATTAGTCGTCTTCAGTACGGTGCAGCCAAAAAAAGGAGCATGTTAACTTGGGAAGGATCACTGCAGGAGCAATGCGACCAATTTGTGACATTATAATTAGAAGACCCTGATTCTAGGTCAAGAGGGCAAACAGCTAACAATAATCACAGAGGAAGCTACACTACCTGAGGAAAGCAATGCCGACGTTCCAAATTCAACGATGAGCATGATGAGGTGATGGAGAACCTAGAACGACCGGGCCATCTAAATATGTGACAGAAGAATGAAAGATCCGCTGGCAATAATTTCAAAAGTTAAGTCGTAGTGTTTTGAATCTACTACTTAAAAATCAATTTGTTTATTACATTTCATTTTGTAAAGTAATATATTATCTCATTGCACTGACCATGATTGCTTTAATTTTTACGTTATTTGGCATTCAAGTGTTATTTTTAAAGCGACGCTTCTATACTGGCGTTGAATTACTTTATTTTTATAGTAATCTGAAGAGGCGAGCGTCACAGTAAACAATTGGAAGAGTCCATTTACGCGACGAGGAGAGTTTTTTCTACAACATGTACACTTTTTAAATTTTATTTAAATCTATAAAATATCTATAGAAAATCTAGTCTGAAGCTCCGCGCTAGTCTACAATACAGCCTACTGTACCATTTTTTTAAATTTGTTGACTATGTGACTGCATAAATATAAAATAAATATTCAGACAGTGATTAGTGATAATATTAATAATTATAAAAAGCTATTACTTACATATCATCAATACATTCATTAAGTACATTTTACATAAACTTTTAAAAATATTAAGTAATACATTAAATCTAATTAATTCATATAGCATATATTTATCTTTCCATACTGAATACCCTAAGATTTATTTCTATAATTTTTCAATTTAAATAAAGATTAATATATTCTAACGCCAGCGTTGCCAAATCATAAAGACATTTATTAGCTGTTGTGCTGAAGGTGATGTATCACTAAATATAAATTTTTATTATTAGGTGCGGTTAACAAAATTGATGTTTCTTTGAGATCTGGTGAAAGGAAATAATTTGTTCAATAACGTTTTCTATAGTTAATAACTGTTATGTTAGGTTTACCATTAGTGTATCCTGTATTATTTAAATCTACTATTTAAAAAACATTTAGTTCGATATTTAGATTATTTTTTGTTATTTCAAATAGCCTCCGCTCAATTGTTTTTTGTGTAACACTTTCATATATACTTCTTACTTGTCCGAATATATTCATATACCAGAACTTGTTATATATCTGTGAGAATATTAGTTTATGTGTACATATTTATTACGACACTTTGGGCTATTCGTGACAATAACATTAAATCAACGGAGCAATTGCAGACTTCTATTGTTAAAGTGGAGAAGCAAGACAATGTACACGCCAATTTTACCAATAATAAAGATGACAAATAAGGTTTAAAACCACATATGAACAAAAAGTAAGAACTTAAAGTTAAAATATAGAAAAATGTATCCACTAACGTTATAATGTATCACAAAGCCTTTTTTTTATCAAGAAGCTCTTACCCAACGCCAAATTATATATTCACAATGATAATCTACATTAAGGCTTAAATATGAAAACTATCAATGAGATAATTACTAAACAAGGCCGGCGCATCACCAAAGGCTTCACGAGCATGCGAACTCCACAGTTCGTATGCTGTGCCACTAAAGTAGCATCACGAAATAGCGTATTTAGTGGCGCTATTATTACTAGAGAAACGCCTTGGTAAGGCGCTGTAAACAGTTAGAAGAGTCCATTTACGCGACAAGGAGAGTCCGTTATACAACATGTAAACTTTTTCTATAACATTTTATTAAAATATATGACATAGACCAATTGGTATAAATATCTTTCCAATTGTCAGATCACAAGCTATCCCATTCAGAAGGAGATTTAACTACAAAAAGGCAAACTGGCAAAGGTATGCAGACATGCTAAATTTTGAGCTGCTACATCTTGAACCAAAAGTAGAGAACTACGAAAAATTTGTAGAGGTACTCAAAAATGTGTCTAGAAAAGCTCTTCCCAGAGGCTGTAGACAACAAGATTTCTCCGGGATGTCCAGCGAGTCCAAAGAACGAATGAGAACATACGAAACCCTCTATTCCACTGACCCTTTTAGCCAAGAAACGGTTAACTGCGGAGCAGTACTACTCCAACAGCTAAGTCAAGCCAGACAGGAAAAGTGGATTGAGACTCTGGAAAAAAATGCACATGATACATAGTAGCAAAATAGGATGGAACCTTATAAAAAAAAACTTAGCGGTGATCCAAAAAAACATAAATCACCTTGCAAGGTTACAGCAAACCAACTCGCTGCTCAACTCCTAATGAATGGAAGAACTACGAACCGATATAAGGACTCAAACACTAGAAGAAGATTGGATTCGAAGACAAACCACCTAGGAACTCCTTTTACACAAAAAAGAACTCCACGACGGTATAAATAGGTTAAAAAACGGGAAATCGGCAGATGTGGATTATATATTCAGTGAACAAATAAAACATCTAGGCCAAGATCTGGAGACTGGGTCTTGCAACTTTATAACACCTGCTGCAAACACTGCGAAATTCCAAAATCATGCAGGAAATCTAAAGAAGTAGCCTTGTTAAAACCAGGAAAGGACCCAGAAAATCTCAGTAGCTACAGCCTATTTCTATGTTGTGTGACTTTTTCAAAATATACGAGAGACTTATACTCTCCAGAATAGAAAAAAATGTCGACAAGCACCTCATCCCACAACAAGGAGGATTCAGACCCGGCAAATCTTGCACCGGTTATGTCCTCGCACTAACAGAACACATTGAAGAGGGCTTTGAAGAAAAACTTATAACAGGGCTGCTTTCGTAGATTTAACAGCAGCCTATGACACAGTGAGGGACAAAACATTGCTCCGCAAATTATACGATACTATCAATGACAACCATCTGAGTAAGGTCGTATATTCCTTACTGCAAAATAGACGTTTTTTTTTCGTTATGTTGGAGGGTAAAGTAAGTAAGTAGGAGAGTAAGCCTGCTAGAGGGAAGTAGTTTAGCACCAATGTTCTTGTAGTAACACCTACAGACAACATTTCATAAAAACTAGAGGAAAAATAATAACTGGGAACAGCATACTCAGAAAGCTAACGGCTAACATCAGCACAGGCACTGTGTCTCAACTGCTGAATATGCGTGCTCAGTTTAAGACAGATCTACCCACAACAAACAACTTAATACTGAAAGAGGATGCATGAAACCAACACCACTTTCAAATCTATATAAAGCAGCGGGTTTTGCAGAACCCTCAACACGTAGAGGCATTGTAGAACACATAGAGAAAATTAAACAGCTCGCTGACGAGCGGTATGTCCTATACAAAGCTCGAACACCATTTCCTTGGAACAGTCTGGATAAGCTAGGGACCAGCTAGTCCCTAGACTTTAAAACGTGGAAAACTATAAATAGGATAAGAACGGGGCAGCTCCAGGAAAATCAAATATGGAAAACCATGGGGAAAATAGACCATGATGATGTGAACTGTAACTGTGGATAAGCACAGAATATGGAATATCTATTTACATCCAGAAAGTGTTCTCATCGATGTACCCTCGAAGATTTGTGTCTCGCCAACAAAGATGGAACCGACGTAGCCCGACACTGGGCCCAAATTTTATGAATGAGATGTACGGTCACGATAAAGTAAAGTAAAGTAAGTAAAATTTATGACACGAATACTAACTAATAGCGGTTTTATGCAATTCTTAAATATATACTACTCTATACAGATAATTTACATAAACATTCGTGTTTGTTTAAATTACACGTGTAATTTAAATAATAAATAAATAGTAAAATTACTTTATTTAATTTTAAAAATATTATTTAAATTGTGAAAATACAGGAAATAGTATGAAGTAGTAGTATGAAGCTTAGCGCTAGTCTACTGTACCGCCTACTGTAACACTTTTAGTGTGACTCAGCGTTGGCCTTAAGTGGCACCTAACTTGTTAAGCTATTTTTAAGTTCAACGTTTTCAATAAACATTTTTAATATCTTTTTATCCACAAATGCTTATCAAAACCTATTAATTTTATTAAAATCCATCATCGGAGCTATTTAATCATCTTTGTTCTCAAAACATATCTCATACGGTATTGCCTTATGAGGAAACATATTGCTGATACGTGCCTGTAGTCTTTAGTATTTCAAGAATATAGTATCAAATAAAACCCGTATGTTAAAACAGTTATTATCAATACGCATTCAAGGAAATAAATGTACGTATAAGAGAAATCCTTTAACCTCTCTTCTTACATCTCGCAATTTAATTAATATCATTTTATTTGAAATAATGATTACTCGCGTACCTCGTAGGTGCAACTTCGTGAAATATTTTCGATAATCGGACTCACGATCTCGTTTATTACCAGCCAGTGTTGTAAATTATTGTTTACGAAACTACTTGGTGTCTGTAAATATCTCGTTAGAGTAAAAATCGGTCCGCGGTCTTTTCTAAATCGTTAAAGCTTACATAAGGGTAGATGGAAAACAGTCATCTCTCAAGCGCTAACGAGAAGTACAATTATTATTAATTTTCAATGAAATAGAAAATAATTGAAATATATATTGCTAACAATTTTGTAAATTTTCAAATAGTTATTACTTATATTAATAAGTTGTTCAGTTATGAAAATGCTATTAGAAGTCGAAGAAAACCTTTAATAGTTTTCACCTAATGATGTCAATAATTATTAGTTATAACACTTATACACTGTACTTTTTTAAAGCTGCTATTTAATCAGTGACGGCTGGTGATTATTTTGTTCATTGGGACGTTGTTTCGGGAATTCAAAATAATAAATAGGTATTTACCAAAAGCCTACTTTTTAAAATAAAACTCAATCCTTTTGTTTTTATCATGAACCGTTCTTGTTCAAGAAAGGTTGCTTATGAAAACGTCTTGATCAAGTAGAGAAACATCTTTCAGTTGTGGAACCTCATGTAGGGAAACCACATTTCCAAGCAGGCGTCACCAACTGTGATTGCTTCTTGCTTGGGTAGTGCAGCTACTTCTGACAATTTGGAAAAATGGTCTATAGCAACCATCAAATACTTATTTTTTGATGTTTTCACTGGAAATGGTCCCAGAATCTCGATAGCCACTCGTTTCCATGGAGTCCTTGTGATGTATTGTGGGATTGATATTTTTCTGTATCAGTTTGGGTCTCTTCTTATATGCTCACCTATTGATCTATTGATTCTATTGATCTCGAAATGCTCCCCAGAGCGGCTATCATGGAGTTCTGCAAGCACGCCCTTTTCACATTTCCTTGGAAGAACAGCTTAGAGTACTGTTTTTGTCCTATATGCACTCCCCCAGTAACGAGTGATAAGATCATCTCGCAGACATAACAATTCCCACTGAAGCCAATAACCCTCCACTACTTGCCCATATTTAGCAATCTCCTGCCACTGTGGGCTAGCTTCATTGTCCAACCACTCACGGACTATTTTTAGATTTGGATTTTTCTCCTGCTCACGGAGTAGCTTTAGATCTGGATCTTTCTTCTGCTCACGGACTAGCTTTGCATCGGGATGTTTCTTCTGCTCACCAACTAGCTTTAGATCTGGATCTTTCTTCTGTTTAAGGACTAGCTTTAGATCACAATCTTTATTTTGTTCGGCCTAAAGGTTTTTCTTGGTCAGAGTGTCTGTTGAAAAGTCCATCGGTATCTAAACTATCGCTATTTTGTCTTGTAGATTGTATTGTGGATATATATGTGGAAGAATCTGGGACTGCGTTGCTGTTTTGAAGATTTGCCTGCCGGTCGACTTTCTGGTTTCTGATCATGTTCGTTGTCTATAATCATATTGAAGGTGCCCTACCAATCCGCAATTGTCTTTTCGTTTAAGCATCGAGAAAGCATTGCACTATCTGCCTCCTTGCATTTAATTCATTCCACTCTAATTTCGTTGTATACTGTTCTAATACACTAAATCATTAGTTATAATGATTATAAGTCGATCATCAAAAATTTTAAAGTAAAATATCATATTAATAGATTCTAGATCAACAGAAAACTTATCCCAAGTTGTTAATCAGATTAACTCAAATGAGTATATATGAGTACGAACATTTATATATTTCAAACTTATTTAACTCACTCAATATTTTCTACATTTCATTTTACTTCTTAATTAGGTTATGAATTTATAAATAAATTGTTCTTTAACAAACGTTAGGTAAGGTAGACCCTTTATACTAAATTCAAGAATAATTGGCAATCCGCCCAAGTGCAAAAATGTAAATAGCATCTGAATTTAACAAAGCCACTAAATAAAGATGTAGAGTAGTTGAAAACAATTTGTAGCGATTTGTTCGTGATCCTTTCGCGTTCAGGCCTATTTTGCATATAAAGAATGCAGTCCGTTTAGGTTAACTCTGCGTTCCGAATGCAACACGCCGGTCAATGGTGGATCGAGTTCATTATAAGGGACTATTGTTGTATAATCAGGTGTTTAACCCAAGATGTGTTTATTTTATTTTGGGATCAAGTGTATTAAGACCGCTTGCGACTTAATAAACTTCTTGTGTTAGTACTGTTGTTGGTTGCTTTTTTTATTAAATACACCAAGAAATCGAGAAAAGTAAATTAAAGACAGTTAAATATTGGTAGAAAAAACCGAATTGTTAAGTGTATAATTCGTTAAGATTATTGCTCTTTACCATACGTACGAAATCAATAAACACCATTAATATTGAAAATATACTATAATTCAAAATTGCTAACACTTATTTTCTTCGTCTTTAAAGAAAGCAAAAGTATACTGGCTGTCCCCATTAATATTCGGGATATCGATTAGAACAAATAAGAAAGTTTAACACTACTAGGAAGAAGTGCTCACTAAGATTGAACGGAGAAAAAATAAAATATCAATTACGTCATTTATATAAACAGGGGAGTATCAGCACCTGGTATTACGATAGTAGATGGTATATACATGTTTAGGGGAAGATAGAACTGTCAAAAACTTTTGAAGCGCTTCGACAGAATTTTTTTGTACACGAGTTTACTAAATTGATAATTACGCCAAGTGTGAGTAGAAAATTTACTGTAATGGAAGTAAAAAATTCTGACATTTTGGATTTTAAGAATTGGGGGATCAACTTTTGTAAAAGGAATGTCGTTTCTCTAGAGACAAGCAAAAGAGACACACCAAGAAATCAACAACAACATTTTTTGATTTCACAGTTTCACCACTTTAAGCATGATGCCTCTAAACCTGGCTATCTCAGTGTTTCCCCCTATAATTAACAGCCCTTTTAATGTTAGCACTTTTCACCTTAAAATGCCCAATGCTGGTATCGTAAGATGGCCGTCAAATAAGGCATATAAGAGTAAGATTCCTACTAAAAAAACCAAAATAGATCATATTAAATGGGTGTTAAAATATATTCCAGAAAACCACCAACCATTTTATAACAATATTGTTAACTGACCAACTACAAAATAAACGGAAATAAGTTATACCCTTCCATTTTTTTTGAGTTTTTGCTAAATAAATATTATTTATTGAAAAAAAAGTTTTATTTTTCTGTAAGTTGTTGAAAGGGGCTAAGTGGCATATACAAAAATAACACTTAATTTTCTTGTAGTTTCTTCATCATGTAACTGAGGACTTTTTGTTCTTGTGCAATCACTACTTGATCGTCTGCAAAGATAACGTATATAGATATTCTTTTCGTATCGGGACTCCCATGCCTTCACATTTTCTTGCCCATGTAGTCAACGTTTGCTCTAAGTATATTTTGAAAAGGATTGGAGATGTCTAACAACCTTGCAGGAGCCCTTTTGTTGTGGTGAAGTCTCCTATGATTCTTGTTCCCATTTTATTGGACATTTTATTTTCTTTATACAGAGCTTTTGTAGCTTCTATGAGTTCTGTCTTTATTTCTAATTTCTACATTGCCTCCCATAGTTCTGACCTTGGTACAGAGTCATAGGTACGCCTTTCTCAGATCCAAAAATGCCAAATGTATATCTCTATTTTTAAATAATTTTATCCATAATAAGGTCGAACAATGGAGGACTCAGGGAATCTCTCTGTCCTATCCCATTGAGAACTTCGATGATGTCAGTTAGTTCTTCTTCTACATTTACTTTTGTTGTGTTGTTTTGGAAGATATTTTCGATAGTTTTAAGTATTTCTAAAGGTATCTCTCTTTCGTACAATAAGTTTGTTGTATTCTAATTATTTCTCTTGCACGCTGCACGTCCAAGTTATATTCCATCCAGACAAACGCTGAATAAATAAATAAATAAATTAAATTAATTATGTCGCTTAAAGAACTGGATAAAAATCTTTTCTATCTCGAGTCTTATCTGGTTCATATGCCATTGCTATCTGGTATCTTCTTTTTGTATTAAACTCTAATAATTTAATTTATACACTGTTCAATACCAAAAATAGATTCTTCTAGACTCAGTTACCCTTTCGAGAACTGTACTGCTGCGCCACTGAAGTGCAGCATGCATACACAGACCGAAGAAGACTGCCTGTACCCGTAATTATCGGCTGTAACACAAATTATTTCAACCTTATCTACATAACTAATTGCACACAAATAAACTTGATAATTAACACTTTGTTGCAAATTTGCTTTATTTAGTAGGTATTTGTGTTGTTGGGATGAATAAATAGTTTATGGGCTGGGGAGCGTTGGAAGACGAATTTCAATAAGGGAAATGGGGAGGTTAATAAAAGACGGTTGAATGTGGGTACATCGTTGTGCTGGTTTGGAATATTCTAGGAATTTAAAGTGGTGATGTTAAATAGCACTGGTTATAATTAACTGTCAGGTTAACAAAGCATATTTTACAATTTCTGTAGTTGATTTTAAATACCGTTGATGAAACTTCTTCACTTCAAATATGATTGTATTTATCAAACATTTTTTTGTATTATGATATAAAACACTTGACCATACTTTAGGGACAGTGATAAAAGCTTATTTATTTTTTATTACGTTTCAAATCTAATGTACTCCCAAATGAGTGAAACACTATTTTGAGTAGCTGTAACAATTTAAGAAAGACACTACGCAAATAAATTAATACAATTGCAATAGATACTTATTTTAGCTAGACAAATTCATAAAGAGTATTTCCTTATAAAGTTCTTGCACGTCATCCAATATTGACGTTGAAATTTTCATACAGGGTTGCCGTATCAACGGTATAGTAGAGAATGCAAGGAATTATGAAATGATAAAATATAAGGTTACTTCGTTACTTCGTTACTAAGGTTAATTCGTCTCTTTTGTGGTACATTACGAAAAATTGAAACGACAATATTGCTTATTATAATAAAGAATTTATATTATTAAATTTAAATACAGAACCAATTGGACTTAATTTATACAGGGCTATTTAAAGCAAGAAAACTATAAACAAAGATTCTTTTTGTCTTAGTTTTGTAAAACAATTTAAAAATGAATATAACTTTGAATATCAATCAAATCAAATCAAGATAAAAGTGTCAATGTGCACATATATTTATTAAATACTGTAACACAAAAAACGATGAACAGTGTTAGAAGTACACATAATAAATAAGGTTGCGTTGCTCAGAGTCGGAAGGGATGTGGGAGTAAGGGGAAAAATAAAATGCTAAAAAAATACTTTAAGGGATTTACTCTCAAAAAAATCACTCTAATACTGCCCTGCAGCGGGTATATGTAGAAGAAATATAAAAACAATGGCACATGTTTTCTTTTTGATCGGTCTTTTAAACCTGTCCTGGAAGTTTATAAGAAAAGTTAAAACTTACGTTAAATTTGTGTTTTCACCGTCAAAAGGCTTTTCTGAATAGACTAATCTCTTTGTAATTTTGTGGGTCTGTGTTTTTCCTTTTTAATGATTGGTATAGTAATACTTCGTGTCCAGTGTTCTGACACCTGTTTTGTTTTACATATCTTAATCTAAATAGAGATTGTATTTCAAACTGTTTTTTAATCCCAATAAATTTAAAATGTGTACCAATGATACAATAAGTAAATAATTTGACAACAGACAATTAAGTAACAATCCACTGATATGTTCCTTTTTATTCTAAACAATCTTTAATTATTGAAATGAGGTTGATGCTCGAATAAATGAACTTTGAAAAATAAGGCTATTATCGAGCACAAGTTAATTAAATCTAGCCCAAGTATTTTCGCTTAAAACAGCATCTTCAGGGGCATTTCGTCAAAATATAAACTATCCGGCAAGCGTAGAATGTGGAAACATTAATATTAACATAAAATTGTACAAAACACTACACTAAAACGAGGACAAACAGTTTAAAATTACTTTAAAGATTCTACACTACATTCTTTGTCAGTATCTGGAGGGAGAATCCCTTTGAAACTTTAATCAATGAAACAGTGTTGATCATACTGCAGAAATAAACAGGTGAATAGAAATTGCCAGAGCAGCATTTATATGAATGAAGCCACTCCTAACGTCAAGAAATATTAATTTGGAAATCAGACTACGCACCATTCGATGTTATATATTTTTAATATTATTTATATATGGCGCTGAGACTTGGATATTAAAAAAAATGCAATTTAAAAAGAATCAAACCTTTCGAACGCAGGTTATGCCGCAGAGTATTAAAAGTACCATGAACTGATGAAATTACAAATAAAGAAGTACTGAAGAGAGATGGTAAACAAACAGAACTAATCACCACTATACAAACAAGAAAACTGACTTTGATGAGATGACCAAAATATGAAATTTTGAGACTCATAATATAGGGAAAGATTTAAGGAAGATCTGTTGGCCGAAGGCAGAATACTTGGTTGAAGAATCTACGTGATTGGTATTAATGCAGATCGATTGATCTCGCAACCTTCGTAGCGAGATGACACTTTAAGAAAAATCAAAACCGTGTTAAAAATAAATCAGAAGGTTTGAACCAAATCTCATCAAGGATTAGAATATCTATGATATACTCATATATAATTTTTTACATAAGTGCCTATATTAAACGATTTTTAGAGGCAAAAAGAAAATCAAACAATGAAAGTAAAAGGTTATCTCATTTTTCCATTAACTAAAATTAAATTAGGAACCAGTTGGGGCAATTATCAGCAACATTATAAAAATTTACGACGTCATAAATGTCCGTTATTGTTTGAAGTTATTAAAGAGGCCATCTACTCATTTTTATAGAATTATAAATTAATGCTAATGAGCTGGTTTAGGCCCGTATGAGGTTTCACGATAAAATATGCAGGAAAAAAGGAAGTGTTAAGAAATTAATATAAATGTTTCTTTAACTCGTTCATTATGTTTTCAAAAAAAATTCAGCTAGTCATCACACCTTTAAGTTTTATTTCTATTAATTAATTAATTGATTCTTTTTTGTCTAAAATAACTCTTAAGGCAATGGTAAGGTCAATAGAATCTAAATCAATCAATAGGATTTAATCTTTCTTATTTTATTTTAATATATTACTTATTTTTCTAAATTAATAATCACGTTGCTATATTTGACTATGTTAAGATACTTTGCCCTGCTTTCAGTTAAGAGCTCCTGCTGTTATTAGTGATATTACTCCTTTTTTATTTTAACGTCGAAAAGTTTTAACTAGTTGCCAGGTTTCTGGACACCTGCGACCTCCAAAAAAATTTGCTACAATTTCTCTCCCAAGCTTCACTTTTTTTCTGGCATCTCTTCTTTTGTACTCTGGGGTGTGTTTTTTTATATGCTATTTTATCGTTGTCATTTTCAGATCTTAAGAACTGCTGACAAAGTTTCCTCTTTTCTTCTAATATCCTTTTCTATTCATTCGTTCCACTAATATGATTTTGCTCTTGTGTCCCTTTTTTCGTACTCTACCAAAGTTTTTTTGTTTAACTATTTCTACAATTTTTTAACATTTCTTCTTCTTCTTCAACCATTATTCTTCCTGAAAATACTATTTTGGATCCTAGGCTATAATGGTCACTGCCAAAAGTTGCTCCTCTAAATTCTTTATTTAATCTACTAATAAAAAATAAGGACTAATGTCTTGGTCTATCACTGTACCATTTTCGGTACTCTGTATTTTCACGTAATGATATTAAATATGTATAAATTAGTACCAGAGTAGAAAGTTTTTTAAAATCTGTGGATTCCCAAAAATCGGTATTAATTTTAAGACTACTGGTAGCTACTGTAACCAAGGATTAAAAATAAAATTTTCATTGTTACAGGTCCAGATATTTAAAGTTTTTTTCATTGTTACAGGTCCAGATATTCCTGGCTTCCTTCTTCAACCCTTCCGAAAACCAAAGAGGATAAGGACAGCGTTTAGTCCTTCGCAATTACTTAAGTTAGAGCACGCTTTCGAGAAAAACCATTACGTAGTAGGCGCTGAAAGGAAGCAGTTGGCACAATCTTTATCATTAACAGAAACTCAGGTAAATCAATAATATGACATAATGTATGCTTTTCCGAGCCTAAAATCATAAACATTTAAATAAATAGATTTAAATCCTGAATTTTTCTTGATTAACGGTTGACAACGTTATAGGATTAAGGACTAACAGTAAGAGCACAATCAACAATAACAAAGAGAGAAATATTAAGAACATAAGCATATCCTGAGAAAACTGATAAATAACTGTATGGACATTAATTATGTATGTATATACAGTATTAACAGGCCATTTAGGCCCATTACTGGATGGATGATTTCCATCGTTTTCTATTCTTAGCTATTAACTTCCAATCTCTAATTACCATCTCACTGACATCTTCCATCACTACATCTCTCCATTCCTTTCTTGGTCTTCCTATCTTTTTTTGCAACCAGGTACTCTCCAAGCAATATTCTTGACTTCTTGACCTTGCACTCTTTGTAGATATCCGAGCCAATCTAGTCTACGTTTTTTCGCCACTTTTGTTATTTTAGGGTTAACATAAAAATGGTTCTGCATTAGTTCGTCTTCTCCATTCTCCCTCTACTACTTTTTCACCAAACATTCTGCGACGTCTTTCTAATGCTTCCAATCTATTCTGTATGTTTTATTCATAGCCTATGTCTCGGCAGCGCATAATATTGTGGTCTAATTATACTTTTGTATACTCTCATTTTCGTATTACGAGATATATCTTTAGCCTTAATTATTTTGCTCATGGTTCAAGCACACCTGTTGCTCTTGGTCAGTTTCAGGTTGATTTCAGTTTCTTCCTTACATATCTGATCAATACCAGTACCTAAGTACATATATTCATCAAATTTTTCGAATTCTGTAACTGATCCATTCTCCACCTCCAATTTAAAGGATGCCCTGGTATTTATTCCTTTTTTGCTCAAGATTTCCATGTACTTCGATTTATTAATATTAGCTTTTAGTCCCGTTTTAGAGCTTTCCCAAATCAGTCTTTTTGCTATATATGCCAATTCTTTTCCATTTCTTGTAATGAGAACCACATCATCAGCATATGCTAATAATTGGTGTTTCTTGTATAAAATAGTGCTGGACCTATTTATCCCACTAACCCTTACAATTTTTTCTAGAACTATATTGAATGGCAATGTAGACAACGGGTCTCCTTTTTCGAACACCTTTTTTCACTTCGAATTCTTCTGGGACTGTACAGTTTCATTTCTCAGCACAAATGGTTTGTTTAATTGTCATTTTTACCAATCTTACTATTTTCTCTGGCACTTGGGATTCTTTTAGCATTTCTATTTATTTGTTTCTGTCTATTGTATCGTACGCGGCTTTGTAATCAATTAAAAGTACTTGTGCTGAAAAGTTGTAGTCATAGCAATTGATCAGGATTTGTTTTAGCATAAAAATTTGATCGGTTGTGGATCCTCCTTTCCGAAATCCTCCCTGGTATTCTCTTACATTATTCTCTACATATATTTCAAATCTTTTTTTAATTAAAATGGCGAGGACTTTATTACTTCTTATAAGGATATTCCTCTATAGTTTGTGCATTCAGTTCTATCCTTTTTGTGTATAGTAATTGTAATCGACATTCCATTTTTGAGGCATTAGTTCGGCACCATACATTTTTAGTATTAGCTCACTAAGTTTGTTTATTAAAGCCTCTAGTCCATTTTTTGATTTTTCATATCTTTTATTATTTCTTCAATTTCTTTTTTTGTGGGCTTTGGTATTTCTTCTATTACTGTTTGAGGTTTAGGAACAATATAATTTTCTTCAGTAGTCACTCCGTCATTTAGCATCTTTTCGAAATATTCTTTCCACCTTTCATATACTTGCTCTTTGTCCACTATCAGGTTTCCTTGCTTATTTGTTACATTCATCGTTCTTCCCTGATACCCAGTTTTAATGTATTTTACCTCTTTGTAAAAATTTTTTATTTCATTTTTCTTGTAATTTTCTTCAATACGCTTTATTTTATCATCGATGTACTTTCATTCATTCATTCATTCGATAAAATTCAAGAAGGTACTGACTTGTTCAGAGTTCGATCTTCAACTGAGACTAAGGTTTACTAAGTGCTACGTATGGTCAGTGCTGCTATATGGCGTACAGGGCTGGATACTCAAAACGAGGGATATAAACAGATTAGAAGCTTTCGAAATGTGGCTTTATGGCCGTATCCTAAAAATACCATAGACAGCGAAAATCACAAATATAGATGTCCTTAAAAGAATAAACCAAGAACGCCAACTCTTGGAAACCATCAAGAAAAGGAAAACGGCGTATCTAGGTCACATCATGCGAAATGAAAAATACCAGTTCCTCCAACTTATAATCAATGGTAAAATTGAAGGCAAGAGAGGAATGGGACGCAAGAAAATGTCCTGGCTCCGAAACATAAGGCAATGGACAGGGATTAACGACATACAATCTCTGATACATATTGCAAGAAATAGAGAATTAATGGAAAATGTGATCGCTAACATCCATTAGTGATTTGCATCCGAAGAAGAAGTACTTTCATTTCCTCTCCCTTAGGATTTTCTTTACTTTTTTCATTGTTCGGCATCGTCTTGTTTTGGCGATCGTAAACTTTTTAATCTCAAATCCGATCTTTTTTCTTAACTCTGTTCAACATTCGTCATCAAACCAGTGGTTTTTGTTTAATCTTTTTGTTTTTGGTATGTTCTTCGACGTTGTTTCCTTTATAGTCTTTGTTATTTTCATCTTGTTTCGCGTAGATTTCTTGTATATCCTTTTGATAATTCTGCACTACTTTTTCTACTACCAAATTTTCGCAGAATTTCAATTTTTTTTTATGTTGCACTTTTTTTTTTCCATTTATGCTTTTTAATTATTGCTTCTCTCAGATTAATTCTACCCAAAAAATGATCTGAGTCTACGCCAGCCCCTCTTTTTTTCTCCTGAAATGCGTACTCAATATTTTCATCCTGTTTTCAGTTGCGAATGTAATCAATCTTTGGCCATGGATATTAATTACTATTATGGTTATTGATTTATTTCACCTACACCTCTCTGTCTCCTTTTTGAACCAATTAACCTATGTTGTTTTGATGTAAAATAATTGACTACTCATTTTTATCTATTACTAATACAAGCAATATTTCAAATATTCCAAATGTATTAAAAAAATATGTCAGAATGGGTAATAATAAAAAATATATAAAAAAATTTGATCTGTTTTATTACAAATCTCGTATTATAAGGATATCTATAGAAAATTTGAAACCAGCCATTTCATAAACGGCGTTTATTTAACGTTAAAAAGCAGATGAAGCTCTCCGATGTTACCCTCCATCCGTCGCACAACTCACCCCATCCGAAGTAATCGCAAACACAAACAATAGAGGGACGGTGTCATCTCCCGCCAAGATGGCGTTAAACGGTTCAAATTCCCCCTGCGCCAATAACATTCATCGTCTTCCCTTGTAATTGTCCCTTCCCGATAGACGTGGAGACGGTCCCCGCCGGGTTTTTGTAATGATAATCCCCATCCCGTGAAATTGATAGTTTATTTCTCGTTGCGTGCGCACTACTTTATCGACCCAGCGGCTGATTCTGACACGACGCCACGTCATTCCACGCCGGGATTAAATCTTTTGATGGGAGTTAATGAAGTGGATTATTTTTCTGAATGGATTGCGTTCTCGTAGGAGTTCAGCCTTATATTAGACCATACTTGAAACAAATATTTTTTGGAATACATTCATCTGTATAGAGATATATTTTGTGTAGTAATATAATATATTATTTATATTTATATACATATATAAATATATTTATCTATTTACATTGTGAGTATGTATACTTCATTCTTCTTATGATAGTACCATATTATCTGGTTGTCAGTTTCTGTAAAATATTCTATGTTTTAACTTTTGTTGCTCTTCTTCTTCACGTGCCATCTCCGCTACGAAGGTTGGCTATCATCATGGCAATTTTGACCCTGGAGGCTGCCGCTCGGAACAATTGTATGGAAGTGCAAGCAAACCACTCCCTGAGGTTTCTCAACCATGACATTCTTCTCCTACCTATGCTGCGCCTGCCTTCAGTCTTTCCTTGCATAATTACTTGTAACAGTTGATATTTATTTCCACGTGTAATATGTCCCAGGTATTGTAGTTTCCTCATTTTAACACTCAATACGACCTCCTTTTGTTTGTTTATCCTGTCTAATACAACTTGGTTAGTTATCTTATCCTTTCAGGAGATTTTTAACATTCTTCGGTACGCCCACATCTCAAATGCCTCCAGCTTACCCATACATTGCTTATTTAGTGTCCACGCCTCCACCCCATATAACAGGACGAGAAAACATAACATTTAAGCATTCGTATTTTCAGCTTTAGGCTTAGGTTTCGGCTACACAACATTTGTTTCATATTGTTAAAGGCACTGCGGGCTTTCTCTATTCTTATTCTTATTTCTCTGGTGTATTCGTTTGATTCGTTAATATTTGTTCCGAGGTAATTGTAATTTTGTACTCGTTCAATAAGATTCTGTCCTACATGTAAGTTGATATTATTGGTACGTTTCTTTGTAATTATCATGAATTTGGTCTTCTTTGTATTCAGTGACAGACCAAACTCTTCACTTGCTCGCAAGGCAACAAAATTTAATTTTGTTGCCTTAAATCTGACGTCACAATGGGCAGAGATTTTAGTAACCTTTCTGTTTTTTTTAATTGTTTAAAGAATAAATAAGGAAAAGAAAAATCAAACGATTTCTACCTGGCGAAATCAAATTCAAATTGTGACCACTGTGCTTTTTAAAACTTGCAAAGCAAACAGCTTGATAAATAACTCGACAAGGGAATCTAAGATTGGATTCCACATGCCGTTTACCATAGTCAAAATTCGTAGTGAGTTCAATTTCTGGTACTCCAAACGGAGTACCAGAATTTGAATTCGATTTCGCCAGTTAGAAATCGTTTGATTTCTCTTTTTGTTATTAGATGGCGTAGTTACGTCCGTATATAGTTATTTTATAACTAT